AGTTCGTACAATATTGTACGAACTTTAGTGGTAGATTGTACGAACATTGTACGAACTTTTTTGGCCATTGTACGAACATTGTACGAACATTGTACGATCATGGTACGAACATTGTAGGGACTATGCACACATTGGCCCAAATATTGTACCAACATCGTATGAATGAACCATAGACCTGCAATATATCATCCTAAATCGGCAGAAAATATCAAGCTGTCGATACTTATGGCCTATAACGGTTTATCAGATTTTCAATCATTAGAATATGCGAGTGCCTGATTTTCTTTCTTGTGCGGTTTATGTTTGACCGAAAAAACCGAGCCAAACACACCCTTTCAAACGTGACCAACCAAGCCTTTGCTTGTCATGCCAATCATGTCAGCCTCAAAAACGTGTGCCTCTCCATGGTTTTCGCCTGCAAACTGTTACAGTCCTAGTTGTGTTTTTGTACACCAAAATCCAATTGCGTAGAATTGTCACCAGAAATGCTTCTGGAAATCACAAAGCATGTTTGAATGCGAAACAAAGCTCTTCATTATCATTTCAAATTATATCATTTTTTGAAACTACCGAGGATGTGAACATCATTTCAAAAAATCAATATTTTTGTTAATATCCTTGACGGTCAGATTTGCATCATTCTGGAATCGCAGCATATCTGTGTTAGTGGTTTTGTGTTTGTTTTTTTTGTATTTATATTTAGGTTAATTGTTATATTTGTTTGTTTGTTTTTGCAACTTGCAATGCAGCCTCCAAGATCTATGTTAATGGTTTCCCACATGTTTCTACAAAATGTTGCACCTAGGAAATCCAAATAAACATCTATGCTGTCTATGCTAGTGGTTTTGGATGGATTTGCACTTGATGCCCCATATCTATGTTAATAGGATCCTGAACGATTTTGGCATTTTTTAGCATGTTTGTTCAATTTTCGGATCTATGTTGGGTTTTTTTCATGGATTTTACTCGTAACCCATTACATCTATGTTAGTAGAATTTGATATTTTTGAAACCAGTCTGGTATCTATGTTGGGGGTTTTGTATCGATTTTGCACTTGGTCTATCTTACTGGCCTAAATGAACTCGGTATGTTTCATGAATCAGTTTCTGGTCTATGTTAGAGGGCGTGCACATGTTTTGAAATCATCTTGACAGGTCCATGTTAGTGGGTCTTGTTTTCTAAAACCAGTGAAGTGTTAGTGGCAAATTCAGTTTGGGCAATCTGACGATATTGGGAAAATCCACAAACATAGATCTGTGAATTTTCTGCGCATCCATGTCTTTGGACTCGTGTATGTTTTGAAACCTTGCGGGAAACACAAAAAAACAGAACTAGCATGACTCTAAACAGTTTCCAAAGACTGTTTATGTTAGCTGGAGTTTTCATACATGTCCATTTGTTGGTCCCACCGCTATGTTGGTGGCCTTTTGGGGGCTGTTCCCATCTATGTTAGTGTTCGACGTTTTCAACAAGAATGTAAAATCGCATGCTTCCACTCGGGGGCAACTTGGTCAAGCCAATTTGTCCCAATCTTTCCACTATCTACTTTACTCATGGTTTCTAGTTGGGTGTGTTTGCATGGTGCCACACCTGTTGTAGACTATGTTTGCCTCTGTTTCATTAGATGGGACATTTGCAAAAGCAAGGTGCGGATCCATGTTTCTCTCAATCTTTTCAAGCTAATGCAGGTCTGTGCTAGTGATCAAAGTGGGTTTTGCGTTTTGCCGCACAAGTCGCAGGGCCTACCTTTGCGGTATTAAACATTCTCAATATTATCGCAACTCCTGATGGAGAGATATATATATATTTATATTTTAGTCCTTCATTTCAATCTAGCATGTTGCCAAGAGCTACTGTATCTCAAGGTCTATGTTAGTGTGAGCGTTGAGTTCCAGAGTGCGCAGTGCACAGGGGCTCCAACTAGAACACAACCATGATTGTAGAACCTCTCTGGGTCTATGTTAGTTCTTTTATTTCTGCGCTTGCATTGTGTCCGTGGTGCTTTTGGACCCAACATGAATATCAATTGCCGGGTGATGAGCTTCGTTAAAGTCTTGAATCTGATCCTCCAGGTGATCGTTATATAGTTTTAGGTAATCTAGGTCCATCCAGAATTGCTAACATAGACCTCGGCATTGAAGTGTGGAAAATACAGGCCCATAGAAAACCACTAACATAGGCTCCCATTTGGGGTTGAGGAAAAACATAATGAATACCGCAAACAGAGACCCCGTGGATTGAGCTGCAAGACGCAAAACCCGTTTGAATCAATAACATAGACATTCAATATCATTCCAAATGAAACACAGAGTGTATAACCACGAACATGCAAAGGATCACTGACATAGCTCCTGCAACGACTGACCAACAACACAGACCTAACAAAGTCCAGGCAGATTCACCAAACATTAAATGTTCATTCAGGCTACTAAAACTAAAACAGATGTGGAGAAATAAATGCAAAATCCATACAAAATTACTTTACTTCGTGTGATCCCCACCATGACATTTATACATTTTCTTACTGGCAAATCTTCTGGCATTCTATCTGACATATCTTCTGACATTCTATTTGGCATTCTATCTGGCATATCTTCTGGCATATGATCTGGCATATCTTCTGGCATATCTTCTGGCATTCTATCTGGCATTCTATCTGGCATATCTTCTGGCATTCTATCTGACATATCTTCTGGCATTCTATCTGGCATATCTTCTGGCATATATTCTGACATATCTTCTGGCATTCTATCTGACATATCTTCTGGCATATATTCTGACATATCTTCTGGCATATCTTCTGGCATATCTTCTGGCATATCTTCTGACATATCTGGCATATCTTCTGGCATATTTTCTGGCATTCTATCTGGCAAATCTTCTGGCATTCTATCTGGCATTCTATCTGGCATATCTTCTGGCATATTATCTGGCATTCTATCTGGCATATCTTCTGGCATATATTCTGACATCTCTTCTGGCATTCTATCTGGCATTCTATCTGGCATTCTATTTGGCATTCTATCTGGCATATCTTCTGGCATTCTATCTTGCAAATCTTCTGGCATTCTATCTGGCATATCTTCTGGCATTCTATCTGGCATATCTTCTGCACATTCTTTGTCCATATCTTTACATGAGGTCCGGCAGGGAACACTTGGCGTGGATACTCGCGGTTGAGGTCCGGCAGGGAACACTGGGCGTGGATGGTCGTGGTTGAGGTCCGGCAGGGAACACTGGGCGTGGACTGGTTGAGGTCCGGCAGGGAACACTGGGCGTGGATGGTCGTGGTTGAGGTCCGGCAGGGAACACTGGGCGTGGGTGGTCGTGGTTGAGGTCCGGCAGAGAACACTGTGGATCGCGGGTCGCAGTTAAGCAAGGACGACGAGGACGACGAGGACGACGAGGACGACAAGGACGACAAGGATGACAAGGAGGACGAGGAGGAGGAGGAGAGGAGGACGAGGCAGGAGGAGGCGGAGGAGGAGGAGCAGGAGGAGGAGGAGGCAACTGACATAAAATCTAACAACCCTCACCTGGCAGGTGGGGAAAAACACAAACGTAGGTTTTCATGTGGACTTGCCAAGAGGCAAAATATGTGGGAAACCACTAACATACCACTAACATATATAGATCATGGAGAGAGCGCTGCGAATTACAAAACCACAAACACCACCAACAACTCACATAGATTTTAAGTTTCAAACAGAAAGAAACACATAGGAGGACTAAAATAGATGTTGGAGCATGCAAGCCTGATGTGAGCCTGACCTCCCAGAAAACAGACGAGCTGGACTGAACAATGCTGTACAATATTGAACCGCATCAGGTCGAAAATGGTAACAGATGCTGTTTATTTTTGCTTGTAAATAGTAAAAAAAACATCCCGATTCTTACATACACCATTTTACCTCGCACAAACCTGTAGTCGTAACTCCAAATGACAAATGTTGTTTTTCTCGGAGGTTTCCGTTCAGGCCCTATATGTTTCCAACCCAAACCCTTGAGTATCGCCAACTTAGCGTTCTTCTTCTCATGTTTGGGTCATCATTTAAGTCGAATTTTGGTGGGAAGAATGTTGCCCATGTGTGTTTTTTGAAATGCCTTGAGGGGCGATGGTTTCCGGAGTTTTAGTTTTTTTCGAGGTGATTTTTATACAAATAAAAAACATCTATAAGAATATCGCTAAATAGTTTTTTGCTATATGCAAAAAGTTCATCCGTAAACCGAAATCAGCTCAATGGCTGTAGTAGCTCCATGTATGGTATATTTAACTACATAACTGGGTGATTTTTAGGGCAAATGTTGGTAAATGTTCCAGCACCATGGATCCTATGGGTATGGGTTTATCTTAAGATAGGATGAAACAGATGGATAACCTATCTTATTCATCTTGAATCATATCTTTAGATAACCATTTGGGTTTAAGATGAAACCCAAAATTTGATGTGTATTATCAGCTGGCCCATAGAAAAAATATATAGATCCAACACAAGATGGATATATATAGTTAGGTAATTCTATCCCAATATATGCACTTTAAGATATTCCATTAAGTCCCCATGTGTTCATGTTTAAAGCCAATTAACTCAACATTTTTTTTTCTGACAAATCATGTGGACCCAGGATTTATGACCTAGCCAGGGGTAATCCACGATTTGCAAACTCTATACCCTCCGAGAACTAAACGTGGCTTTCTGGAACCTATATCATCATCTCATGATGCATCCTCGCGAATTCCCAGCATTTTAGCTGGTTAAATCCCATGATGTTCATCTGTGGTATTTTTTTCCCATAACACATACTGTAATATATCGTAAAAATACCAAAAATGCCCATCTGTGTGTTTTACATTGTTTTACTCATGATATAACTATTACAAGCCGACATTATCCCATATTATCCTATATTATCCCATGTGATATAGCCCACAGTAACCAACAGTAACCATTATTAACCATGCTTATATCCTACACCGCAAATCATCCACCCATGCTAAGGTCTTTATGGCAGAAAATTCTGAGACCAAGGTGACCCCGTTGTGTCTGGCGGTCCCGGCAGGGGGGTTCGGTGACATGGCATAGCTGTGGATGGTTGCGAAATCCTGCACCAGTTGATAGATGGTTTATCCCATGATTTATAGGGTTTCAACCATCCAAGGTGCAAGATTTATTTCATCCACAGTAGTAATAATAGTAATAGTAGTTATAGTGACATGGATGATGATAAATCCAATAGATTCTAAATCTATTGGCTGCACGAGGACCCGACCAAGCCCCATCATTTGGGCGCCTGCCCCTACTGCGGCCCCACGAATCGTAAACCGGTGGTAACCCTGGTTTCTGAATGGGGATGAATGGGGATAAGTAGGGGCAATGTCCACTTACGACTATATTCCCCATTTTGGTTGGTGAGCATTTTGATGCTTAACACTTCAATTTGATGCTGAAATCCTAGGGTTTTTAAATAATCAGTTTATGATCTACTTACTAAGTGGGATCAAACACAAAGTCATCAGCCTTTATTGGTGATTAATCCCCAAGTGCAGAAAACGCTCCAGAGACAGGAGATTGTGGCCATTAAAGCGGCGTGGGGGGCAGCTCAGATTTGGGCAGTTCAGTTGGTCTCGGGCCGAAGATCCAGATTGGATGCTTTGGGTATGTTTGAACATGGGGGACTTACCTGGATTTACATTGATTTACCACCTTGATAGGGCTATATATATAGATACATATATATATATGGGATAATGATGATTCAGCAGTAGATTTAGATCGCCTAGCAGTTTCGAACAGGTGCTCCAAAGTTAGCTAAGTTGATTTATAACTGATACGTATAACATCGTATCTCCAGGCTTGGCTTCCTCTCGTTTGCGATGCACGTCAGGTCAATACGTAGTGGTTATTTTCCACTCAAAGAGAAGGGTTATCCCTCCATTCATAGGGGTTAGCGCCTGGTAAACTAAAATAGCTATGGAAAATCACCATTTTACTATGTAAATCAGCTATAAATGGCCATTTTCAAAAGCTATTTTGACATAACCAGAGGGTAATATACTCACTATATGCAAGGAATCCTTGCGATTGTCGGATGATCATAGCCCAGATACGATATTTTGGCCATGGCACATCGATGAATTTAGCCAAACTATCATAAACTCGTGCGTATAGATCTACAATTCTATCTATTACTGTATGTGCATTACACATGTGTATCTATTGTATATTATATATACACATATTATATAATATATGTAGACATAATATAATATATATACATATTATATATATTATGTATATATATATAATATATTGTATAGTTGTATCTAGATGGCATTATTATTTTTGTATAACGGTCTATCATCTAAATCTAATCTAATCTAAAATCCAACCTAAACCTTAAATCGAACCTAACCATCCATCTATATCAGAAACAAACTCTCCATGATACCCGCAGTTCAACCTTCTTGTGGCAGAAATAGATCTAGAAAACTTAAAAACCAACAAAAACGTAGATCATGTTCCGAACAGGAAGCCAGGGGTTTTCATTGGTTTTCCACAAGCTGGTGCCCCCCCAGTTATAAGTTGGTTTATACACCCCATCTAACTATAGATATAGTACCATAAACCATAGTTATTGGAGTTATAAACCAACTTAGCTATCTAGGGGGCACCACCTTGCACATTCTTTTGTATGTTTACCCTTGGGATACCCGGAACTCGGGATACGGATACGTTCTATCGCCAAGGTCCAAGAAGGAAGATCCCATCTTTGGCGGCTTCCCTGTGAGCCTTCTGTGCGGCCTCCCTGGGGTCTCAATCATCAAGGATTCACTAAGAAGATGGGATTAGACCTCTGGAAAACCATAGGAAAACCATAGGAAAATGGTGATTTAATGGTGATTAATCCATGAGTTTTACCATCCGGTGATGTCAAAATATAGTTCCTTCTTGAAAATGGTCATAAAACTAGTGAAATTTCCCATTGATAGCATGGTGATGTTCCATACTTTTTTCTATGTTTACCAGAGGGTATGCTAAATTGTAGGCATAACATGGTATAACACCTCGATGGTTACCTTGATCTTTGTGATTTTCTTTGGCTTTAGAGGTGACCAACGGATATTTTTTGGTTTCCTAAAATGGAAGTACCCCCAAATCATTCAAATTAGATCATGACTTAGTACAGGTTAACCCATGGTGATGATTGGGGAACCAAATTTTCTATGAACTCATATGTGAATATGTGAATACCTTATACCATCAGTTGTAGGATGTTTCATGATTCATCAACAAGATCACTGGCCATAAATCAGGTCTATTTCTTAGGCCTAAATTTCGATATACCCCACGATTCATGTGGCCAAAAGTATGGTACGTTTACGTAGCTCCATGTATTGAATCCTGGAGATCTCCTATTGATATGGCCATAGAAATAGTTTTTCTTTACCCATTGATAGCATGGTGATTTTCTCATCCGTTTTTTGTATGTTTACCAGGCCGGGTATATATTGAAAACTAACAGTTTGCTATGGAAAATCATCATTTTCAATGGGTAAATCCACTATTTCTATGGCAATTTTCTATGGAAAATCCCATGATAATAATCCCATTGACTTTTAAACGGGACCGGGCGATCGATCAATTGGATTGCTGTTCAACCGGATCAATCCACGAAATCTGGGGATATAAAAACCACCAACGGCCGAGGGTTTTGTATATGAGCGTGTAAGCAAGGTGAAGGCGAATGGCGAGAATGGGTCAATGTTTCAAGTTTTTAGCCATTTTGATGGTTGGGCTAATGATTGTGATTGATTCATGTTTCATATTTCATATTGTGTTTTTCATCATGTTCAATATTTCCATATATTTCCATCAACATCCCAGGAATCAAAGGGAGATTTACAAGTCGAATGCGTATTTGCAGCTATTCCTACTCACATATTTTTCACACTTTTCGGTGGCTGAATCCACCCGAAGCTTCGGAATTTGTGGTGGATCTGTTTTTTTGGAGTCGCCTTTTGGTGGGATGAGATTGACTAGTTGACAATTGCGTGGATGGTTCGACATCTGCGATACCCTTTGTGGTAATGAAACGTGGCTTGCAAGATATCAATATTATATATTAATATGATTCAATATTATAATATAATATCTAGATATATATATATATAATCTATATAAATATATATACTTTTGAAAATCACCATTCAATATTATATAGATAGATAATTTTCCCATACAAATGTCCATGTTTCCAAACCGGGGAGTTCCCAGCCATCCAGCCATGATGACACGGGTAGATTTTCAGCCTCGTTGGTGACCTAAGACGTTTATAATTTTATGGCAGTGTGTCAAAACCTTGTACCCCTGGTGAACATCAAAATAGCTGGGATTTATGGATGTTCATTCCCCTAAAAATGGTATTAATAGGTATTGATCCATACCCTTATGATGATCAATCATGGTAAATCAACTCTAAATGGCCAGTTTCATTATATAAATGGCCAGATAAATCAACTATAAATGGCCAGTTTCATGGCCAGATAAATCAACTATAAATGGCCAGTTTCATTATATAAATGGCTATATTGTATAGATCAATCAACTATAAATGGCCAGTTGCATGGGATATATCCATTGATAGCATGGTGATTTTCCCTAGTTATGTACCAGTCTACCAGGCCGGGTAGCTATCTTCAACCGGGTCCAAGCGGATTTCACCCCCATGAGGCGAGAGATCAACATTCTGAGGAGCGTGCGACATGAGAACATTGACGGGAGCACCCAGAAACGGCGCCATGGACATGTATGTTATTAATTAATGACCATTAATCACATTAATTATGGATTCATCACCATTATTAAGCCAAGAACTATAGTATACTATAGTCTATAGTTATTCACCGCTTATTAAATGGGATAACTATATGGGGATGGGTCAAAACCCTGGTACCCCTAGTGAACATCAAAATAGCTGGGATTTATGGATGTTCATCCCCCTAAAAATGGTATTAATAGGTACTCGTATTGACTCATAGCCATATAACATATCCAGTGTATATGAGTATCCGACAAAATTATCAGCCTTTGAAAGTAGTAGAGAGCTGCCTTGAACTTTGCTTGCCTTCACAACACCTTCATTCTACTTCTAGTTCTAGTACTAGTAGAAATTGCTGCTGAACGTTATCAAAGAGCGAAAATCTTCACAACCGACACGGGGAACAACTAATTTTGTCTGCTACTCATATATATATATATGTACATACACGTATATATATATATATATACATACATATATATATGTATGTATGTATGCATGTATATATATATATATATGAGCCACGGTCAAAATGGTTCAAGACTACTTTAGTATTGCAGGAGTTTTGTTGTCAGAGATGTGCACGAAACAGTGTAAAGCAATAGGGCCCTGATAGGGCCCCTCCAAAAGCGAAAACCTGGGACCATACACGACAATCCATTAAACTTGGCGTAAACCAAGACATGAAATGATGACTTCACCTCGCAACTCACTCGACCATAGAGCCAAAAAAATAGAAGACAATTCTTCTGCTGGATGAGCGGTTTTCAGGGTCGCGTTGTTAGTTGGGTGGCCCCATGTTGCCACATATTTTGTTGGTTACTCCATCATCATAGGCTAGCTTGCTTCGATTTATCGTGGATGTATCTGGATGTATCGAACTAAATAGATGGGGTAAGATAAACCAACCGATTTGTAACTGGGGTGGTACCTTTACAAAAAGGGTTAATTCATCACTGTAATCATCTATAATCACTCCCCCAAATATCAAATACCCTCGTATGGGCGACTCAAAATGAACCGTTTCCCTGCTACACAATGTTTGGATTTTAGTGTACTTGATAGTAGAGGGACGAAATGATTCATATGTGCTTAGAAACAATGAAATATCCCCATCGATCTCCCATAAACCATCCCCATTTGAAGAATTTGAATGGTTTGCCCTCTGATAATTGAACGTCACCATGGAAAATCAACATTTTTTTAAAAAAAAAATAAAGTTCCGGTAAATCAGCTCTATCTTTCGATGTGGAGAAACTCCCTCCCCATTCTCCCCATGATGTCTCCAACGTCGTGGGTTCGCCCAGGTGCAATTGCACGAGATCGCACAGACACCTCAGGGGGATCCCTTGATCGTCATGGAGTTCTGCCGCTCGCTTAGCAGGGCATGGATGGGTTGCTGGGGGTTGCTGGGATGACATTACGAATGTGATGACTTATGGATCATTCCCGAAAATTCCCTGCGTAAAACGCACCAGTAAGAAAAGGTGAACATAACATAACATAACTAGGTAATTTCTATGGTTTATGATAGATATATCATGATCTATCTGGGTAACTTGTAACGACCTCACACCGAACCCTGGAATCATGGTAAATAAGGGAAATCATCCCCTTTTATGGCCGAAATAGGCTGGGGATGACAACGTTAAGGTTTGTACATGTTTGTACCATCCGTGGGGACATTTGCGAAATGATGGGAATTCAAGAAAACACTGGGAATACCCTCTGGTAAACAAACATAGCTATTGAACATGGCCTATCTATCGTGGATTTACCTATGAATGATGATTTTCCATAGCTATGTTAGTTTACCAGAGGGTATGATCCATCACCCTGAATTTAAAACATCTTCCATTTTCACGGGATATCCTCTTCAATCCTCTTCACATGTTTTTTTGGAAATGCCAGCCATGTTCTACTCCATGTTTTGTTTTCCTCTCATCATCCTATCCATTTAAGGTCCAAACAACACCAACACAAAGTCCAGCTGCACATAACCACCACCTTGCGACGTTGCACGTGACGTTTAGCCGTTACGCTCGCCTCAAGGCCAAGCCTCGTTGCTGGAGCTGATTCACAGCCCAAAGCACGACTTGAGCTTTTCGGAGATCAAGTACATCATCCGCCAGGTGGGAATCCCCCGTGGCGTGTGGGATTGTGTCAATGGGGATATTAAGGATATCTTCAGATCTAACAGGGATGAAAACTGGGATTACTTGTAGGATATATTTCAGTAAGTTCATGATACAATCCTACTCTTACCCCCTGGTAAACTAACATAACTATGGAAAATCACTATTTTTCATGGGAAAATCCACTATAAATGGCCATTTTCAATAGCTATGTTAAATTACCAGAGGGTAATCCTACTCTTACTATCTACATACCAATTGCAAAAACATGTTCATTTTTGTTGTCGGGTTGTCGGTACCCCGTGTAACGTATTTCTTAAGGGAAAGTTTTTTTTTTACACATGATCGACTCAGCAAATCGACTCAGGTTTTCCTGGATGTCACGTTACGGCAAGTGAAACAGAAAGTTAGGAAAATCACCATAAATCAATGGGGAAAACCATTGGAAAATGAGGATGTCATGGGGATTAACCCTACTGTATCTGCTTGGTGCTTTGGAACATGAATGGATTATGACTTTCCATTCAGTTGGGAATGTCATAATCATCATAATCCCAATTTACGAATATTTTTCAGAGGGCTAGGTATACCACCAACCAGTATACATTTCACATCACTCACCAGTCATCAGTTTCCAGTTAAGAAATTTCGAAACTCTGCGGGCAGTGCTTGGCCACTGTTTATCCCCTGTTTATATACCCTCTGGTTATTTGTTACATAGCCATGTTAGATGGTTTACCTATTAAACTGGTGATTTTCCATGGCTATGTTAGATTACCAGAGGGTAGTTTGTTTAGGTTTCACTAGTTTTTAGATAAGTTATTCTTATGAAAAATCATTCCATGTAGTACCCAAGAAAAGGCAACATCTAGATGTGTACAGCGATCTAAGCAAAATCAGTCGTCTGTCAAAATTAGGTTGCGGATGTGGCATTCAAGCTTTCCAACATGGTCTCGAATATGTGTTTTCATCCTCTACATCCACCATGGTTTCTGAGGGGTGTTTAATATTTTTACCGGGAATAGGATTATTTGCTGTTTTCAGATTTGTTGAGTTAGTTTGGTATTAATCCATCCTCAAGTGTATCCCCGTGGAATCCCATCCGATCTCCACATGAAAAATCCCAGGTTTTTTCAGACCGTTGACATACGTAGTGGATAGAATGGGATGGTGGCGAAATCCGATAAACCATCTTAAACGGCTGGTTGAAAGCCTATAAATCATGGGGATGTTTACCACATCCCTCAACTGGTGCAGGTTTTCGCAACGGCCCAGCCACATGGGATAGAAACGTCATAAGATGGTGCGCAGGCATCCAAAATCATCCAAACACAAATGAAAAGGGGATCAGTGTGAGATGACGAAAGAAATTATCTCAAAATCATTTTTTTTTAAAATTGACCTCAAGATTTTTTATTGGCTGCTCAGGAGGTTGATATTTTCTTGGGTTTTCACAATCGTTAAATCATCAACTTTTCAAGGGTGCCCAGTGCCTTGCTGTGTTCTAGGCAAATGATTTTCCACAGGTGAAACATGGTAGAAATGCGAAGCAGAGGTCTCCGTTCGATGCCTAGAACATGGTTTTCTGGTTGGTGGTTTCAAACATGTTTTTTTTCCATAATATATGGAATAATCCTTCCCAACTGACTAATATTTTTCAGAGGGGTTGAAACCACCAACCAGTTTTGAGTGAACATGGCTTACACCAAAACATCCAAAACCCGCTGAGAAAATCATGTTCCATCTTCAGATAACCTGATACCCTCTGGTAATGACCAGCAGTTCGCTATCGAAGCCATGGCCATAGAAACTTCGTTGTTTTCCCCAGTAGCATGGTGATTTTCCAGTTCGCTATGTAAACGTTTACCCACTCAAAATCACCATGCTATTAATGGGTAAATCCACTATTTCTATGGCCATGTTCCATCATTTTTTGTATGTTTACCAGAGGGTAAAACATGCCATGCAGGCTGCAGACTGATCCCACAACATGGGAGAAACCTTGATGGTCCCAGGTCTGTTAGGGAGCCATGATCAACCATAGCTCCATCTCAAATCGATCAATGGATTGGCTTAAACATCTATATAGATTTTCCTATGAAGATCATAGGGGTGTTTCCTGTGTTTTTTCCCTATTTACCAATCCATTGAACATATCAACTCCCCATTAAATCACCATTTTCCTATGGTTTTCCTATTTTTCCTATGGTTTTCCTATGACGAAATGACCATTTTCCTATACTTCACCAACATTTCTCCAGGTGTTGGATGCCACTGGTTGCCTTCATCAGAGAGGCGTCCTGCTGCTGCTGCTGCTACTGCTACTACTACTACTACTACTACTGTAGTATCACTACTATAAAATAGTGATAAGAATAGTGATTAAAAACATGTTATCACTATTTTATCTGGTTGGTGGGGTCAAACATTTTTTTTGACTTTCCATTCAGTTGGGAATGTCATCATCCCAACTGACGAACTCATATTTTTCAGAGGGGTAGGTATACCACCAACCAGTTATAGTAGTAGGATTTTGCTGTTCAATCTTTCTGGAGTTTCAACAACCCCAAGAAATCTTTTGTATATCAATGGGTACCGGTTGACATCCGTTTTGGAAAATTTGGGTAGGTCGGTTTACCCACAATGTACCAGGTGCCCCCCAGTTACAAGCTGGTTTATAAGCCTATCAACAATCTATTTACCGTAAACCATCGCAAAGCCTAAGTAACGTACTGATAAAGCAACTTAGCAAACATTAAAACAAAATCTAGACCTCCGCATTTTTCAGTCTTAAATCAACTAAATCTCCATTTTTCAGTGTGAAATCTCCATTTTTCAGGGCCTTTTAAAAGCCACTCCAGCCCCAGGTATCCTGCACAGGGACTTGGCCACCAAGAATGTGCTGCCTGGGGCTCCGGTCACCGATGGTTTCCGAGTTTCCAGCGAGGTTTTCGCATGTTTTTTTAATAGTTGGTTATCCCAATCGAAAAAAACAAATATATACATATATATCATATATATCATATATATATACACCTCATATAAGCAAACATCGCATGTAACAACATGTGTTATTCTTAATAGTTGGTTATCCCAATTGAAAAAAAACCACCAGGGATTTGTTGGACGTTCGCCACTGCGTCGTTGGACGAGGTTCAACCTCAGTGGCGAGATCAAGGTCTGTGACTTCGGCATCTCACGAATGGCCTTTGGGCAGGACGGGGGTCCCGGGGTAGCCCGCTGGATGGGCGTCTCAAGGTGACGAAGATCAGCGCAATAACTTTTAATAAACCATAGGAAAACCATAGGAAAACCATAGGAAAATGATGATTTAATGGTGATTAATCTATAATTACCCTCTGGTTATGACTAGCATAGCTATGGAAAATCCATTATAAATGGAGGTTTCTAGCTGGGAAAATCATATATAAATGGGCCATTTTCCATAGCTATGTTAAATAACCAGAGGGTAATGCCTGTTTGCTTTCCTACTTGGTGTGGTAGGTGGTTTTCCTACTTGGCTCTTACGAAGTAGGTTAAAGAACTGTTGTTTTTTAGTGGGACGTTTTTATTCGGGTCACAGTCCACAAAAATAGCTAGGCTTATAACCTACTTGGTACGTGGGATGAGCCACCAAGTACCTTTGGTGAATCATCACTTTCCCGAAAAAAAAACAATTTCCAGCTAAACCCATACTTATTTAGTTGGCTATATAAGGCTATATATATATATTCATATTCCTTTCTATTTCCATGAACCCTAAATGAATTGAAAGTGTGTATTTCTATTTCCATTAACCCTATAAATTTCCATTGATGTTTCTATTTCTTGCTTTAAAAATCCATACAAAAACCCTAAATTTTGAGTCTACCAAGCGTCGCCGAAGAAATACGACCGCTGCCATGGCCAGGATGATGACCTAGGCTTTATCTCCGCCAAGGCCGCGTTACGCCGTTGGTTTTTGTTGCCAAGGTTTTTTATGGGTTCTGATTAATAGAGGGGCTCATAACCATATAGTTATCCCATTTAATAAGCGGTTAATAACTATAGACTATAGGTTCTGATTACCCTCTGGTAATTTAACATAGCTATTGGTTAAATGGCCATTTATAGATATTTATAGTGGATTTACCCATTGATAGCATGGTGATTTTCCATAGTTATGTTTGTTTACCAGAGGGTAATAATAGAGGGACTCATAACCATATGGCTATGGACCAATACCTATAGATACAATTTGTTAGGGGAATGAACATCCATTTACCAGCAATTTTGATGTTCACCAGGGGTACAAGGTTTTGACACACTGCCATATAGTTATCCCATTTAATAAGCGGTGAATAACTATAGACTATAGTATACTATAGTTATTGGCATAAAATAATGGTGATGAATCCATATAGATGTGATTAATGGTGATTAATTAATAACATACTAATAATGGTTAGTGGTTAACAGTTGATAATGGCAAGTTGGGTTTGTAAAGCCCAGTAACTATAGTAACTTAGATGTAACTTAGTACCATAAACCATAGTGAAATTGGAATACAATTCTAGATCAATCGACTGGATGGCTAGAAACTAATCCTGAATCGTCGTTTGGCATGGGATTATCTAGGTTCACCAGCTAAGAACTTGTCATTTTTTGCAGGGTATCTAAGATTGGCAATGTAACTATAGCATACTATAGCCATATATCATATAACATCATATATCCCCTACAACTATAGCCATATAACCCCTAACCCCTATATTAATTAGATTGGCCATGGGTTTGTAACTGATACCCTCTGGTGATTTCACATGTTTGATCATCCATATGACGGTCTGACGGAATTCCCAATGGATGCCAGCGAAAAAAAAAGGCATGTCTTACGCCCAATTCTTTATGCATCTAACTAGATTAACCAACTGGATCTGTACAAGCACTAGCAGTTAGAATATAGGTGATACCCTGGATATCTAGGTGATACCCTGGACCAACTGGGATGGATTATCTTGCACTGGATTTGGTATCACCAACTGGTATAATCCTGAATAGTCTCTTGGTATGGGATTATCTGCGTTCACCAGCTAAGAATGTGTCATTTTTTCTAGGGTATCTAAGATTGGCAATGCTAATGAGCAACATGTAAGCCAATTTTGGATTTGCAAGGGCTTTGCTAGGAAATGTTTTAGCGATGGATTTTGCACACGTTTATCTGCATAATTTTCGTTAATTTTCAGTACAAAAAACAGATTCTCGAAAGTCTGTACTGTCATATTCAAAAATGATCAAAAATGCAATACAATTATGTTTCTACCTTATCATTTTGTTGTGAAGGTTTATTGCATGCACGTGCTACACAGTTTGCCTGACCAAATTTGACTTGATCCAGCATATGTTTGTTTGGTCTATTCCATCCTTTTTTAATGCGTCACATTATGTCACTTATTTTATTAATGGCGCCTTGCAAATCCTACTTCGTTAAGCGTTTTGTGTACATGAATTTGGTGGTATGGCTAGTGTAGTAACCCGTGTTACAGATCATGTTTGTGTTTCTTGAAGGGCATCCACGGCATGTAGCGAACGACTTAAAACGCAGAAAAAAACGTATTTCATGCATGTGTGGTATTTGTTAACCCCCATTTTACATACAGGAAGTAATTTGAATATAATATTTAATATTGTCATCAAGTAGCATTAGATATTGGAACTGTCTTGGCCTTAATACTTAATTAATGACCTTTCTAGTAGATTTCCAGCTTTTAGTTTTACTGTGTGCCAACAAAACGAAAGCAAGTCAACGTATTTGATACACTTGAATTAAAAAATGCCACTTCTTTGGATGAGAGGTGATGTTACATTCCCCAATGAGTTTATGATTTTGTATGTTCTTTTGAAGGTAAAAACAGTTTTTGATAAGTTGTACATTCTGTTTATTTTTTGCATGTATTTTATTTATCCTCCCTACATTCAGAAAGTAATCATCATGTATTTGTAGTGCTACATAACATGATAGATCATGTTCAGGTTTTCTGCAAAAGGGCATTTTAAGTTTCCCAGTGGGAAATTATTTTTCTGGCCTCACATTGAACAAATTCCAGTACATGGAATACGAAACATTATTTTTGATATTGTTGTTTTATGACTATCAATGTAATGTCAAAATCATGTTATACATATATAATCATATATATATATATGTTGCATATACATACGTGTATTTAGATTTTATTTCACATGCACATGCCGGTATCACGAGGAAAATCTAAACCAGCTTGAGAATGATTGGTTGATGGGATATTTTCTAACATTCTGATGGGAATACGCAAGATACTGCCAAACGAAATCAGGTATTCAAGATTATAGACCGCAATATTGGCCGATTCAGTCTAAGATTTGGAATGCTTACAGGAACCAACAAAAACAGTTTGGAGATAAACATCCATTGGTTTCCACTGGAAGTTCCCTAGTTCACGCATTTTGACCCTCATGAGCCAGAGAGGGTTGTGAGTTCTGGGAAGGTGACAAGTTCTTGATGGCTTGGGAATTAGGCTCAAATAGCCAGGACATTCTCCATACATAGGAAACCGTAGGAAACCGTTTCTCAACATGGTGGGCACGCCCGCGTCGCGTGTTCGATACAATGCAGAGGCACCCGAGGTGGCACAGTTGAAGCAAGTGCATAGTGCAAAAGATGAAATCATCATGCTCTTGACGTTGCTACCACATTTGTGTGTGTGCTTTGCCATCATCTTCATGGGCAACAGCCGAGTCAGGGGAGGCAGCGTCACATTCTTCCAAGGCGAGGAGAGCTACCTCGCTGCACAGAAAAGAGGAGGGTCAGGTCGTCCCTCGCAGAAAGTCAGCCTCGACCCGTCCGGGCGGAAATGCCATTTCGCCGAACCGCCGCAAGTCGCAAACTTTGAAATCACAAGCTGCACCGGCGCAGAAGCATTCTCTGAAGAAGCAGCTTGGTCAGCGAATCCGCTCAAGATTGAAACTGAAGATATGAACATGTTGTGAAAGAGGGTTGTGAGTTCTCCGGATGAAATTTTACCATATTCGAGAGCTTTTTGAATTTTAAACCTTGGATGGGTACTTTAATGCTTTAGTCTTTTTGGTATCAATGGGATTATCTACTAACCAAGTCCTGCTTTAAAAGCATTCATAGATGATGCTCCTTTCATAGATGATGTTCCTTGATCCCCATACTAAATCACCAATTTACAATGATTTTCCCTACAAACCTCCGTTATATGATGTTTCCAGCAAACCATGTTTGACCACGAGGATGAATATCAACTTTGAACAGGGAGTCAAGCAACCACCAGATAGTCGTTCCCTCGTTTCGCAGGGCTTGGAACCTCCCAACATGATCGTGTCGCTGCCCTACCGTTCCAACCCCAGGGGAAAGGTTATGGCGGTGATTCTCGGGGTTGCAAAGGAAAACATCCTGGTTCAAGCTTTGTGAATGGTAGGTAAAATTGGTGGTTCCTAAATTGGGGGTACCCCTAAGTCATCGAAGTCATTAGACCGAACTATAGCATTGAAACCTATACTGACTTGGGGATCCCCCATTTTAGGAAAAGGCAAATGGATTAAACATTGTGAATGGTCCTAACAAACCAAACATGCTTGCAGCTGGGTGAACTCTGCAGGAATCTCGCAATATTTTTAAAGAACAGGGAATACTTAAGATAAAACATGTATTCCCCATGTGTTGTTTAAGACATTCAAACTAAAAAACAAAATACTCAAAAATAATAGGAACTGAAATAGTTTCTAGAATATCACGTGCTTAAAATGAATAGCAACTAAAAAAATCAAGCTATTCACGCTTTGGTCACATGGACCAAGGCTGCTTGTGACCCTTGATGTCTAAGATTTCTGGTTTCGGATCCCAACGAAACTTGCTTCGTGTGATGGTTCAAAGTTCAAATGCTAAAGTCCCGGTGTTGTTGTCATCCGTGAGCCCGGAAAATCTCCTGAATTTGGTGTATCTCCAAGATATACTTAGATGGGAAACGATGATGACAAGATATGATGATAATATATGCATATCTACCGTTACTGTACGCTTATCTACATGAGCCCTGTCAATGTCAAATATTTTGTATGGGAAAAATGATGGACATTTGAAATCCATTGGAGTTGAGTGTACCAGATTTTCAGACACATCCATATGCCCCATCACGCGAAGAAAAGGTGCCATTGAGCTCTTGCTGGGCGTGCCTTGGCCGTGCTGGAGCTTGGTTAAAGTCCAGGAGAAACTTATGGCCAGAAAATTTAGGTTCAGCAGCAAAAGGTTGGAGCCAAAACATCAACATAATTCAACGCAGATGTCAAGCTTGGCGACTGCAAAGTGAGTGGCTAATGATTGGGCAATCTTGACTGGAAAACAAACATTCATATTTTTTTGCACGGTATCTAAGGTGATTGCAAGATTAGCGATGGTTTTGGGGTTCCTGGATACTTAAGGCCTTCTTCGGGTGGCTGTTGATGTGTTTTCTTCTCTTTAGGACACTCACGATTTTTGAGGAGTTTATGCAATATGACCCATAATATGGGTATGGCGCGTATGGATCAAAATCAGTACCCAGACAAATTGGATGATTAACACAAAAAATTAGCCAAAACATATCAAAACATGCCACAGTGACACTAGTCATTTCTCGCGTGCTGATTTGTCTGAACTACCAGCATTTGCATGTACTTGCAAGCTCACATCTTGGCACTGCTTTGACCGGGAATCAAACTGATGGATTTTTCCTTTATTCAGTACAGGGTTTGCTTGCAGCATGCCTCGCCAATGAAGATCTGCAGTCTACCCAAATACGTGACATACCAAACGTGCCAGCAATTGTTCTGACACAGACATCCACTCCAAATCCTGTTGTACCTGTGTACCAGCATTTCATTTGCAGACTATCTTCCAGTTCATGCATGAAGAGTAAGGTTTTCTTCAATATTTTTGTCAATTTCCATCCACGCTGTTAAGAGTCCTGCAGCGAAGCCCTTTTCGTGATTTAGAAGTAATCCCATCTCTGCAATATTCACTTTGCTGAAGGTGGTTTTGCCGATGGATTCGCCTACCATTTTGGGAATCTACCGGGACTATTTTCTATTTGGCTGGAGCAAATCCAAGTTAAATACCCCCGACAAGAGATATATTATCTGTTTGGGGAACCTTTTGTTATCGGGATATCTCCGGCGATGACATATGATAAAATATATGATGACATTTCACCTCCCAATTAAAAGCAATCCCTACGAGCTCGCGCCCGCAGCAGCCCCTTCTTTGTGGTTGGCCCCGGGGTAGTAAATGGATGTAAGTGGGCTATAACCTGCTATGATCCAAGTTATTAGGGTTAGTCCAGTTATAATTTGTGTCATCAAACAAGGCTTGCTGGAAAACTCTCCCATTTATGAGATAATTGTTCGATTTACATGACCAATTTAGTTCGGGCATTTTCCAGTTGATATCCCTTGAAATCACCATTTCTTCAGCATTTCATGCCTTTTTCATCCCTTTTGGATCCCATCTCCCGAGGAATCGAAGTACGGCCCCAAGTTGGACATTTGGTCCGTGGGCTGCATCCTGGCAGAGCACCTTGGCCTTGACAGCTGGTGGCCATAGAGGCCCTTTCACGGATGAATTTGGATGGGAAAACAAGGCAACCGGTTGACTCCGCGCCCTTGTAAGGGTGACGAATTTGAAATTCTGATTTTCGAAGGTAAGAGACAAAATGCTGGTATTTGCAGGAGTCGTCAAAAAATGTTTGCAACATGGACATTCATTTCGATTGGCAGGCGTGTGACTCAAGAGTGAAAATTTGCGTTTCGCCTGCGCAGTGACTCGATTTTGCTCTTGCAGGGTCAAAAAAACATTAGAAATCTTTGATTTTCAATAATCCGAATCATATCAGGGCGGCATTCACTCTTCCAGTTTCTTCCTCTTCTCGACGCTAGCGGTGCCAGAGCGCTTGTGGCAACGCCGAAGCCACAGTCTGCAACAAGGCAGCATTGTGACGCCATGTCCAGCTGTAGGCGCAAGTGTACCTTTTTTTGTGCACTTTTTGTTTTTTTTTTGTGGAGCATCGACGCAGGTCGCCATTTTTTAATATTAAGTGTTTCCACTGGACAGGGCAAAGCGCCTTCCGCTGCCAGCGAACTGCAACTACGGCTCTGTGATCCGAGCACACGCCTTGGAGAAGGCTTAAGCCCCGTACCGCATCGAGTCTGGTGGGGGCCGATGGCGATCGGCCTGGGGCTTTACCGAACGCCGCTGGTCGGCATGGGAAAGTCTGAGGCCAGGCTGCTTTGCATCTGGGCTGGACATGAGGTGCCAGCTGGTCTCAAGATGACAGACGTCCAGTTGAAGGCTCGGGTCAAGCAGTTCGAGGCCGCAAACGTTGTTTACGTGCCAGCACTGTACACATCCGTGGCCCAATCTTCTGCGGCGTTCGAAGGCGTGGCCCAGTTCTTGGACATCTTCTACCTGTCAGCAGTCATCTCGACTGGCTCGACTAGCCATTCAACGTCGTCTGACGCACAGAGGCTCTCTGGCCCAGTGGAACTAGGTTACTGTACTTCAATCCGCTAGTCTATTGGTATGGGATTATCTAGGTTCACCAGCAAAGGTAAGATTGGCAACGAAACTTGGGGCAAAGCAACTACGCCAGCTGGTTGATGTCATGGGGATGTAAATGAACGCAACCAGCTACGAAAAAAGGGAAGTCGAAGATTGGTCAATGATTTTTGTTTTCCCTATGGGACATCCACTACAACTGGGGAATCGATAGGGGATGTTTTTTTTGGTGTTCCTTGAGCAAATCCGGGTAGACCATATTTTTTTTTATATATATATAAATATATATGTACAAAGTGAATCAATAGTATATAGTTATATTGAGAGAGAGAGAGAGGAGAGAGAGAGAGATATATATATATAGGTATTTACGTCTAATTATCGATTTAATTGTGCGATAATTGTATATACATATCTGTGTATGTGTATTTTTGTTTAGAGATATACGCAAGTTATCCACGGATCATTTCGTCCGCCTTTTTCAGTTGCCAGACCTATAGTTCCTATGTCATCAGGTGAGTGCAGCTGAGACTTTTGGAAAAAAGCAAGCAAAGTAACAATTACATCAATGAATAGATGAGAACGAATATGACTATTCAAGTAAACATACAATGTTCATGCAGCTGGAGACACATGACTTAGGCAGCGTTCATGGAGGGAAAAACAAGAGATGGCCTATGTCATCAGCTTTTGATATCTTGGAAACTGGGTTTCCAAGAGATGTTTTTGTTATTTGCCGATGGTCTTTTAATCCTATATCATCAGGTTCTTTTTCAGGTGTCTTCTGGGTTGTTGGTGAACCGCGCATCATAAAAACCACATGACTTAGACCACTTTCAGCCTGTTATTCCTATATCATCAGAGTTCCTTGGGCCTAAGTCATCTGCCTATTATATATATATAATATATATATATATATCAGGAGGGATTGTCCAAGAAAGAGCTGGGTTATTGCAGGTGTGCCCATCGAC